ATGCTGAAGAATTGATGCTTTTGAACTGTGGTGTTGGAGAAGACTCTTGAGAGTCCCTTGGACTGCAAGGAGATCCAACCAGCCCATCCTAAAGGAAATCAGTCCTGAATGTTCACTGGAAGGACTGATGCTGAAGCTGAAACTCCAACACTTTGGCCACCTGATGTGAAGAACTGACTCATTAGAAAAGACCTTGATTCTGGGAAAGATTGAAGGTGAGAGAACAAGGGGATGACAGAGGATGCAATGGTTGGATGGCATCACCGACTCAATGGACATGAGTTTGAGTAAACTCCAGGAGCTGGTGATGGACAGGGAGGCCTGGGGTGCTGCAGTCCATGGGGTCGCAAAGAGTCGGACACGACTGAGTGACTGAACTGACTGACTGACCTGACTGAATGCAGAATTCTAGAAAATAGCACAGAGAGATAAGAAGGTCTTCTTAAATGAACAGTGCAAAGAAATAGAAGAAAAATAATCAAATGGGGAAGATTAGAGATCTCTTCAAGAAAACTGGAAGTATAAAGGGAACATTTCATGCAAGGATGGGCACAACAAAGGACAGAAATGGTATGGACCTAATGGAAGCAGAAGAGATTAAAAAGAGGTGGCAAGAATACACAGAAGAACTATACAAAAAAGATCTTAACAACCCAGATAACCATGTTGGTGTGGTCACTCACTTAAAGCCAGACATCCTGGAGTGTTAAGTCAAGTGGGCCTTAGAAAGCATTACTACAAACAAAGCTAGTGGAGGTGACAGAATTTCAGCTGAGCTATTTCAAATCCTAGAAGATGATGCTGTCAAAGTGCTGCACTCAATATATCAGCAAATTTGGAAAACTCAGCAGTAGCCACAGGACTGGAAAAGGTAAGTTTTCATTTCAATCCCAAAGGGCAATGCCAAAGAATGTTCAAGCTTTGTTCAAGTGTTCAATGTTCAAGAATGTTCAAGTGTGCTCATTTCACATGCTAGTAAGTTTATGCTCAAAATCCTTTAAGCTAGGCATTAGCAGCATGTGAACCAAGAACTTCCTGATGTACAAGGTGGTTTTAGAGAAGGCAGAGGAACCAGAGATCAAATTGCCAACATTCCTTGGATTGTAGAGAAAGCAAGGGAATTCCAGAAAAACATCTGCTTCATTGACTGTACTAAAGCCTTTGACTGTGTGGATCGTAACAAACTGTGAATAATTCTTCAAGACATGGGAATACCAGACCACCTGACCTGCCTCCTGAGAAATCTGTATGCAGGTCAAGAAGCAACAGTCAGAACTGGACATGGAACAACAGACTGGTTCCAAATTGGGAAAGGAGTATGCCAAAGCTGTATATTGTCACCCTGCTTATTTAACTTATATGAGGACTACATCATGTGAAATGCAGGGGTGGATGAAGCACAGGGTGGAATCAAGACTGCCAGGAGAAATATCAACCACCTCAGACAGGCAGATGATACCACTCTAAAGGCAGAAAGCAAAGAGGAACTAAAGAGCCTCTTGATGAAAGTGAAAAAGCTGACTTAAAACTCAACATTCAAAAAATCTAAGATCAGACCATTACAGTATACTAACACATATATATGGAATTTAGAAAGATGGTAATGATAACCCTATATGCAAAACAGAAAGAGACACAGATGTACAGAACAGACTTTTGGACTCTGTGGGAGAAGGCAAGGGTGGGATGTTTCGAGAGAACAGCATCGAAACATGTATATTATCTAGGGTGAAACAGATCACCAGCCCAGGTTGGATGCATGTGACAAGTGCTCGGGCCTGGTGCACTGGGAAGACCCAGAGGGATCGGGTAGAGAGGGAGGTGGGAGGGGGGATCGGGATGGGGAATACATGTAAATCCATGGCTGATTCATGTCAATGTATGACAAAAACCACTACAATATTGTGAAGTAATTAGCCTCCAACTAATAAAAATAAATGGAAAAAAAAATCTAAGATCATGGTATCTGGTCCCATTATTTCATGGCAAATAGAAGGGGGAAAAGTGGAAATAGTTACAGATTTTCTTTTCTTGGGCTCCAAAATCACTGCAGATGGTGACTGTAGCCATGGAACTAAAAGATGCTTTCTTCTTGAAAGGAAAGTTATGACAAACCTAGACAGCATATTAAAAAGCAGAGACATCATTTGCTGACAAAGGTCCATATAGTCAAAGCATAGTCACGTACAGATGTAAGAGTTGGACCATAAAGAAGGTTATTGCCGAAGAACTGATGCTTTCAAATCATAGTACTGGAGAAGACTCTTGACAGTCCCTGGAACTGCAAGGAAATCAAACCAGGCAATTCTAAAGGAAATCAACCCTATATATTCATTGGAAGGACCAATGCTGAGGCTCCAATATTGTGGCCACCTGATGAGAAGAGTCGACTCAACAGAAAAGACCCTGATGCTGGGAAAGACTGAAGGCAAAAGGAGAAGGGGACAGCAGAGGATGAGATGGTTAGATACCACCACCAGTTCAAAGGACATGAGTTTGAGCAAACTTCAGGAGATAGTGGAAGACAGGGGAGCCTGGTGTGTGGCAGTCCATCGGGTTGCAAAGTCAGAAATGACTTAGTGACTGAAAAACACCAAAAACAAGACATAATACTCAACAGTGAGAAGCTAAAAGCATTTCTTCTAAGATCAGGAACAACACAAGGATGCCCACTCTTGCCACTTTTTTTTCACCATAATACTGGAAGTCTTCATCATAGCAATCAGACAAGAAAAAGAAAGAGATATCCATGCGGGAAAAGAAGTAAAACTGTCACTGTTTGCAGATGACATGATACTATACATAGAAAATCCAGAAGATGCCACAAAAAAACTATAAGAAATCTTCAACGAATTTAATAAAGTTGCAGCATATGATATTAACATATAGAAATCTAGCAACAAACTATCCAAAAGAAAAATGAAGAATACAATCCCATTCATAACTGCATCAAAAAGAATAAAATATCTAGGAATAAATTTAACCAAGGAGGTGAAAACAATGAAAACTATAAGACATTGATCAAAGAAACTGAAGACACAATAAATGGAAAGATATTTTGTGCTCAAGGATTAGAACAGTAAATATTGTTAAAATATTCATACCACCCAAGACAGTCTATAGGTTCAATGCATCCCTATGAAAATTTCAATGGCATTTTCATAGAACTAAAACAAATAATTATAAAATTTGTATGAAATCACAAAAGACATCAAAGATCCAAGGAAACCCTGAGAAAAGAAGAAAGCTGTATTTCAAAAGATAGAGCTACAGAATACACACATTAAGGTGCAGTAGCCAGTTAAACTCACGCTGGCCACCATCCAGGTGACGACCACCATGACCAGCAGACACATTCCTGCCAAAATGCTCATTATCCTTTGAAAGATGGATCGGACTCCCTTCTGTCAGCTAAACAAAGATCTCCACCCAAACAGCCATGATCTGGGGTGAGGCAGAGGGAGTGGGCAAGGGGTTGGGGACCACACTGACCCCTCAAGCCCCAGGGCACGGGGTGGGGGGTCTGGGGTAGAAATAAGTCCCTACACACTCTGCCCCAAACTTAAGCTCCCTGTGATACAGAGGGTCCTTAGGTGGCTGAGGCCTCCAGAATGTTCTGATGGCTGTCTGGGATGATACTCCAGGACCTGGTAACCTTCTGGGGTCCGCGGCATAGCGCCTCCTTGGGTGGCTGACTGGGGCACGAGAGCAGGGGGTGGGCTGCCACCAGGACCCACAGCGTCTAGCAGGGGAAGACTGGCTGTCTCTGAACCGGGAACAGCTCCTGAGAGCCTGCATGCCAGGCACCTTGTTAGGGATGCCAAGACGAAACCCCTGGTCTTGTCCTTGAAGAGCTCTCCTGTCCCTCCTCGCACTCAGGAAGCAACAGGAGCCCCACTGTCTCCCACAGAACAGGCTGCTTCTTCAGAAAAGGATCTGGCACCCAGTTTTCAAGAGCGAGACGACTGCCCGGCCTGCCCTGGTGCCCCGTCCCCAGGCTGAAGCAGAGATCTGGCTGGAAGGGAGCGCCTCCTGTCCAATGTTGTCCTGAACTTCTTCCTGAAGACTCTAGACAGCACCTACTAACCTGCGTCCCCTCAGGAAGCTGTGTAAAGGGGGCGGGTCCCCAAGCCCTTGGTTGGGTCGGTTGTGGCAAGAACCCAGTTCCCACAGAGCGAGCAGATAAAGGAGGCGTTCGGGGATTCCCATCTGCCACCAGAAGAGGGCGCGAGTCGGGACTGGACTCTGCAGAGAAGCCGAGCCTGCAGAGCGGACAGACGCAGTCGCCCGCTGGGAATCCTACCTAAGACAGGCAGGCTGCACTGTGAAAGCCTCGCGTGCTCGAGACCCTCAGTGTTCCGCAGCGACACAGGCTGACACTCTGGCAATTCTGGACCCTGGGAGCTTTCCACCCTGCCACACTGTTTGCCGGATTCACATTCTCCACCTTAAATGTTTATTCAAACAGCTGAACAGCAGTTACTTGACAGCAGCCGGCAAGGTGCTCTTCAGAACACTGTTGAACGGTGATGTTAAATGGCACATCTTTTAGAAGCTGTCATTTAACAAGAGCAGATTCTCCTAACAGACAGACATTTCACTTCCCAGCAGCGTTCATCTGGCTCGATTTGGTGACGACGAGCAGCTCGTTTTGGGGAGTGGGACAGCCGGAGGCTGCGTCTGGGCCGTTGGTGGCACCCGCTTCTCCGATCATCCTCTGCCCCATGGGGCCCATGCCCACCTCCTCAGGGACCTCTGGGGCCCTTTCCTGAGTGATCAGTGGGTGTCATCAAATGTCTGGACCACCCTCCTGCTCTCACCGAATGTTGGAGAAGCACAGACGCTGATGAACCTGCCAATCTGCTCTCCAGGCTGCCCCATCAGCAGTCCTGAGAGCTCAGAACCAAGTGGGTGACAACTAGAAAACCCCACACGGACACACTAGTAGGGCGGGGGTAGGTACTGAAAGCTGGGGCCCCAACACATAAGTGGCAGCTCACACATTGAGAGGCAGCTGGACTCTGGGAGCAATGCTCTGCTGTTCAGTTGCTGGGGTGGATCCAGCCGAGGAGTCCTGGAAACAGACAAGAGGACACAGTGAGCGGACTGCAGGCTCCCAGGGCAGCCTGGCAGCCAGGGAACCCTGTCCCTCCCACAGCAGCTCAGGAAACCACGCCTGCCCACGTCTGGTTGGACAGCGGATGTAGCATTCAACGTGCAAGGAGATGGGGGATGGGGGAGAGGGCTGCCTTTATTTTCAGGACTTGAATTAGTTACTCCTGTGTTTGTCCAAGAAAAGCCAGACAAAACTTTTCATGCTTCAAGATGTAAGCTTATTTAAAACCACATCCCTGAGCGCTAAGGAAAACCAGCCCTTCCACAGTGAACATAGCGGCTAGAGCGGACAGGATGTGAAACACGGCATCTCGCCTGATCAGGCGCGCAAAACCTCGAGGGTCCACTCTGCAAGATGACGGAGGGATGGCCCCTCACAGGTGATTCCTGCCGAGTGCCAGGCACACGGTGAGCTGCTGAAGGGCTGGCTGAGGCAGAAGGAGCCAGTCCACCCGGTTTGCTATAGCAGCTCCAGAAAACTCAACAGGGGAGGACCCTGGGGGTCAGTCTTCTTGCTTCTTGCTGACTCTGACCCTCTGGACTCCTCTCAGAAGGACCCTGCAGTTACAATGGCCCAGAGGGTCCAGGACTATCTCCGAGCTCCATTTCCTGGTCTCCTGCCAAGGAAGGCCACACTCACGGGTTCTGGGAATCAGGAGTGGACATATTTGGGGCCATGATTCCCCCTCTACCAATAGGAAAAGTGGATTCAGGCGAGGAATGGTGTGCAGGACAAGGAGCATTGAGTCTCCGTCCTTAGTGACTGGTAGGGCAGAGATGCTGAGTGAAGGGAGTGGGGAGTATGAGGCCCGGGGGAGGTCATGGACTGGGCACTGGACACAGTGAGTCTGCTGTGCTTGGATCCGGAGGATGACGCAGCGGGAAGCCGACCAGGGGCTGGGGAGTGGGGGCACAGCCTGGACATGTGCGTTCAGGATCAGCACAGGGTCCCTGAGCCCTGAGCTCTCAGCCTGCAAACCTAGGTGCACTACACCCTCGGGCCCTGACTTCTGCCCCGACCACAGCTCAGTGACAGGGATGGGGTGCACCCCACTCAGAACAGCTGGGCACCAGACAGGACTGTGAAGCCTGGTCCCCAAGAATCAAGTAGTGAAGACAGGGCCTGGAGGGATGAGGAAATGGCCATCGAGGGACCTCACCTTCCAGGTGAGTTGGAATATTAGACACAGTAATTCACAGCTGCGAGCAAGGAAATGCTGGCCTCATTCTTTCTGCAGCCACTGGAGGTCAGAGGTGAAGATTCAGCCTCGAGAAAGGGTGGAGAAAGGACAGAGGCTGACCCGACACTCTGTCTGCCGACCAGCATGCCCCACACAACAGGGAGAAGGACCTGCATAGGTGGGTATGGAGAACTGCATGGAGCACATCGAACAGGACTGGGTGAGGGAGGTGGACACCCAGGTTTAGCTTGTTTCTATAAAAGGAAGTGTGCTTCCATTGGGAAATTTACATACAGATGATAAAGCTGGTACTTACAGAGTTGGGATTTGAGTTAATTTTTAAAAAATTGTTCAGGTTTTCCATCATTTTACTGTCAACAGTGAGTGGTTCCAATACATTTTCAAAGTGAGATACACAGAATGACAGTTCAATTATCTTAGGTCTGTTTCAAGATCAAGCTTTGGTTGATGTGACCGCATGTTTCCTGGATTCCATACATGTCACCTTTGTGGGGGGCCAGGAGGGGCCAGGAGAGGACTGTGGGGTGACCCTGTGAATAAGCCACTCTGGTGACCAAATCCGGGCACTGTGGCCACAGTGCTGTTGGAGGGCTTCAGCCGGGTGGCAGGACCCACAAGGTGACTGGCTTGGATGGAGCTAGACTCACAACCCAGTTCTTATCAGAGGGCTCCTGTGCAAATAAAGCCTCCTGAAACAGCTACCAGCCAACAGGCACCACACATGAAGCCCCATAACCTGGTGTGGCTGCTGAATCCCGCTGCGCCTGGAGGTAGCCTTCCCTGGTGTCTCTCTGCACCTCACTGCTCTCCAGCCACTCTGGCCATGATTCACCTGGAGGAGACAAGCTCAGATGAGGCTGCCTCTGCCTCCCGGCCAGAGGGGGGATAGGCTGGTGTGGCTGAGCTCTGAGCCGCAGAGCTGAACCTACAGACCCAGCCCATCACTCTGGATGACGGATGCTGGGGGCAGGAGGACGGGGCGCTCACCCAGCACTGGGGCCACGAGGATGCCCTACAGGAGCCCCAGGGGAGCAGTGCCGGGCCCTCCCTGGACACCTGGCCCTCAGCTGAGATCTGACATGACAGAGGCCACAAAGCAAATAAGTGGGATTTCAGGGCAGACCCTCCATTAGAGCAGGGATGCAGGCATGAGAAGCCACACCTGTGATAACCCCTTTTCCCAAGGTCAAGGTCGACATGAAGAACATCTAAGACCAAGCCCACTGAGCCAGGGCTCCAATAGTTCCCTGCAGCGTGGAGCCCAGATGAAGGCCCCTTTGACATTGTACCCAGTGGTGGGAGCCACGCTGGGACTTCCTGGTGGGGCAGGATCCCACCCATCCCCCTCCGAGTTCTGTCTTCACCTCTGTTCCTGTTGAGAGAGGGTGGAGGGCTGTCCCCCGCTGGCAGCCGAGGACACAGGCCCAGCGAAGGAGGACGCGGCCGCAGACATGGGGGCCCCTCCAGAAGCCTGGCAGGCAGGCCTCTGCTAACCCCAGGGGAGACAAGGCATCGGGATCAAGGGCTCGGAAGCACGAGGCATCCCATGTGACTCCAAGTCATGGCAGCCCACCCTGGAGGAAGGCGCCTACCAGAGGTGCAGAAAGTCTGTTTGAGGTCGTTCAGTGCAGCCCCATGCCCTCCGCTGTGACCACGTCGAACAGGCTTCCCGCAGGGTGTGGGGCCTGTCTTCCAGCTGAGAGCTGGAGGCTGATTCCGCTTTGATTTTTAATGACTTACTTTTAAATGATTCTGGGCCTGAAGGAATTAGCGAGGGCTTGGTAGGGGTGAGGGAACTGGGCAGGGATGAAGGAAGGAAGGAGACGGCTCCAGCGCTTTAAAAATGATTGGGAACGCAGCCCTGGGACAGGCTCTTCCTGCCTCTTGGTGACGGCTCGCCCCTCCCCCCGCCCCGCCCCGGCCCCGCCCCCCGTCCCGGCCCCGCCCTCCCTCCGTCCCGGCCCTTCCTTCCCGGCCCCGCCCTGTGCCTGCCTGACCCATCGCGGGAAGGTGTCCGCTGAGATGAAGTGGCATCTATTCAGTAGACTCCTAATGGCAGCGCGCTGGGACTCGGCCCCGGAGGCTAGCACAACCCGACCAGGGGAGCCGCCAGCAGGGTGAGGACGTGGGTGGCACAGTCCTCGGGGCCACTAACCACGAGGCGGCCGACCCCAGTGACCCATCTAGCCTCGTTCAGCAGTGGCCCACGGAACATTTGACAGGAGTCTATGACGAGTCCCAGAAGACGTGATTCTAAACCGTCAGGTTGTTACCAGACGCTGGAGGCTGCACCGTGTTGTTTCCCGGGGCCTCTGAGCAGTAGCCAGGAACCAGGCCTTTAATTTCCCACTGGGATTAATAAAAGGGAAAACGGTCTGTGGGTTGGTGGACTGCACCCCTGCTAAAAGGGGCTCTAAGTCACTTTCCTGACGCAGACCAAAACCCTAAGAAGAAACATCTCACTTTCATTTTAGCATGTGTCCAAATAACACTGTCATCACCATGAGGAGCTGCGAAATGGGCAAGTTCACTCATCACTTGCTACCACCCTGGAATGCAGGGTGTAAAAGATTCTCAGGAACATGCTTCCCAAATAAAACTTCAGAATAAAACATTTACAGCCAAACTCTTTGCTTAGTTCCAAGAAGAACAGCCAACAGCCTGCAGGGCCAGGGTGACTGGAGGCAGGGTCTGGGTGGTGAGCCTGGCCTGGCAGAGCCTGGCCTGGGCTGGCCAAGCTCCCACCAGCAGCTGGAGGTCAGAGGCCGAGGATCTGAAAGAAATGGTCTGTCCTGGGAGAAGGAGCCATCGCACTGTGCCAACAGAACATCCACAGTTCTCCTCATCAGCCCCGGGAAAGCTGGCTGGCCACTCAAGACAGAGGTCGATGGGAGGCCAAGCTCACCTCAAGTGGCTCCACTCACACCTGAAGGGGCCCTGACAGGTGAACAGACTCTCAATGCAGCCCTGAGCCTCTGGCTCCAGGTCTGCTCAGGTCCACAGACCCACCCGAGGTCACATCTGGCCGCTGCCTTGATCAATAAGATTCTCCTGGCTCCCAGGGTGGAGGGAGGCTGCAATAGAGACCATGAGGTTGCAGGATCCAAAAGGCCAAAAAGCTGCCCGACCCTCTTGAGTGCCGTCTGGAATGAGAGGACACACCTTCAGCCCCTGCCTTTGTCCCACTGGGCCACAGCCGGGCCAAGAGCTGGACAGGCCTCCCCGGGTCACTCTGAAGGGGAGGGGCCCCTAAAGTGGGGAGCTTGGGGACCATTCAGTCCGGGACTGAAAATCGCAAAGTGCTAATGAGCTGGGATGAGGGAGACGGTTACAGGACTACTTCTGACCTGTCGGGGGCGTCATAAGGTTTGACTTTGAATCAACTGGTGGGGCCTTTTTCCACCAAGAAGCGTCGATCACCCATGACCACCGCCCACAAGCACCGCCCACACTGGCACCTGCCACTCACAGCCCTGTGAGTGAGTGTGCAGTCGTGTCCAACTCTTTGCGACCAATGGACTGTAGCCCACCAGGGTTCTCTGCCCATAGGATCTCCCAGGCAAGCATACTGGAGTGGGTTGCCATTTCCTTCTCCAAAGGATCTTCTGACCCAGGGATGGAACCCCTGCCTCCCGTGTCTCCTGCACTGGCAGGTGATTCTTCACTGCTGAGCCACCAGGGAAGCCCTGCAGCCCTGCCGGCCTGCCCTTAACTCACAACGCTCACACCTCTTCCTCCTCCCAACAACTGAGTGACAAGGGTCCAGAGATGGGCGCAGCTGCTTCCCTTGACCTCTCACCCCTCTTGACGGCCTCACTGAGGGCCCGAGCCTGGTCACAATGTTTCCTTCCAGTGTAACTGTAGGAACATGGGTCCCAGGACCTGGTCATCTCTGCTGCTGACCACAACACCTCGTCTCTTGATGGACTGGCCTTTCGTGCAGCGAGTAGAACCAGTCTGGCTCTGCTAGTTGGCTGTGAGCAAAGCAAATCCCCTTGACTTCCCTGGTAGATGGAGCTGGTGCCTCGTCCCACACAGACGGGCTCCATAGACACGTGGTCATAGGGAGCACACTGGCCAGGCTCACGAGATGCTGAAGACATAGGAGTGCTAATCCAGGCTTTCTCCTGCGTCAGAGGGCTCCGGGGGCTGGGACCGCACCTTCAGAGGCTGTCTCAGGCCCCTGAGAAGCCCCCCATGTCCACCAGGGTTGTGTAAGTGCTGTGGTTGAGATGGAGACTCACCTCCACCGGGGCTTGGGGGCCCTGAGGCTGGGACCCCAAAAGGCACAAGTGCTTGGCCTTCTCATGCCCGCCCAGGGACTGGGGAAGGGAAGTGAGTGGTGCTGAGGAGGGCCCCCAGGTCGCAGGCCGTGGCATTACCTGGGCAGGAGCACTTCGGGACAGGTGCGCCAGGTCCCCGATCCTGGCCGCGGCCCGGGGGTCGCTGGAGCTAATGAGCACAGGGGCGCTGATCTCCATGGAGCGCCTGTGGCCGCTGGCCTGGGTGGACTTGTGCGTCACGCTGAGTGCTGTGAAGGAGTGCCGCTTCTTGGCATTCTTCTTGCTGTCCACACGCCGCTGGAAGGCGCTGACTGCCCCCGTGCTGCCAGAAGTGGGACCTGGGGCCACGCTGGCCACTGCGCCGGCGTCAGAGGGTAGGGAGGCAAGGCAGCCGGACGCTGAGGCCAGGCCCAGCTTGTCCATCTCCATCAGCTGCTTGGCGGCATCATTGAGCTAAGGAGACAGGAAGGGGAGGGTCAGTGAGCAGCAGCCTCACCCCACGTCCAGCCTTCTGCTCACGCCTCAAAGCTGCCAGTGTGTTTGAGGCACTGGGACCTTCCAACAGCACATCCAGTAGGAACAGTGTTGAGGAAACACAGTAAAGGCCGGGGTGGCATCTGGGCACTTGATTGAAAAGCTGTGTTTTCAGGGGTGTGCTCCCTTTGCCCCACTGTGGCCGAACTGTGCTGCCTGGGAAACACCCAGAAGGTGGGGGGAGTGCCCCCACGTGCTCCCCACCTTGTGGGCCGGCAGGACGCACCACCCCTGTCCACCCCCCACCCCCTGCACGTGGCCTCAGGCTGCAACAGAGCCCTGTCCCCGCAGTCTGGGGAGGGGGCAGGGCCCAAGGGGAGCACAAGCAGAGCCCAGGCTGTGAGCTCAGGGCTGCAGTGGGGCACCGTACCAGGGGCCAGTGCGGAGAAGGGTTGCAAGCCTTTGCTGCTGGATTTGCGCAGCAAAGGGAAGGGATGGTGCATCCACAGGCCAAGCTGACAGATTGCAGGTGGTGGAGTCTAGTCGCTCTGGATGGCTCAGGCACAGGGCTGTCTGCATTTCCACTGCAAACACCCATCCTTCACGGGGTGGGGGGAGGGGTTGTACAACTCACTCCAGGCCCCAAAACCTGGGATCTAAATCCAGGATCATTTCCTCTGAAATGCTGCCTTCACTGAGGCTCAGCTGTTTTGCTCTATTTTAAGGTTTTACTCATTTGCTCCCCCTATAGTGCTGAGTCCCCTCCCCCTTCTTTGGGGGCCCTCTGACCCTGGAGGCTGGCCTCCTGTACCCCCTGTTCTGCACCCAACTGCGGGGCCACCCAAAGAGCAGAAGCAGGAAGCATGGGCACCAGAACCTTGTCTAAACTACCGGCCCTGTGCCTCCACGTGCCAGGTTTCTGTATGGAAATAACGGCACCGACGCTGCCGCTGGGCTCAACTCCCCCTTGGCCCCAGAGCAGCAGCCCTGGAGCCCCTCACTCAGTCCCAGGGACCCTGTGGAGTCAGTGACAGAAACCACAGTTTCAGGACCAGGAAATCCAGGGAAGGACAAGGCAGGTATGTGCACGCCCAGAGTACCCGCGCACACAGCAGGACCAGGCAGGCCCTGGCCCCACGGTCATGCCCGCCACTCAGCCACATGATCAGCAGCCCACCACATGTCTGCCCCGAGCTGACATGTCCACCACCCTGCCCCCACAAGGAGAGCTGGGCTTCAGGGTGGCCTGAGTGCCTCCACGGGCGCTTAAAGGAGGACAAGCCGATGTCCAATGAAGAAGACAGTCTCCACAAACCGCAGGGATCGTGACAAACACTGCTTCCCGGTGGTGAAGCCTCTGCATTTCCTCCCACTCCTGCCGCGGGTGAGGGGACCCCAGAGGAGCACCCTCCAGACGCAGGAAAATGGTTTGGTCTCATCCTGTTCCCTGAGTCTTTGTTGTGTGACAATGGCAGGAGTCTGGCCTGTCCAGGGGATAGAGGAAGGCCATGTGGTGGGGGCGGGGGCGGGGGTGCAGTGAGGAGGGGGTGAGGCCAGCAGATCCCTCAGACCTGTGGGCTGCAGAGAGGAGCCTGGATTTATTCTGAGAGTAACGTCCCCTCCCTGCCTCTCCCCCTCCCCCGTCCCCCAACCAGGGCCATAGGCAGGAGTGAGGCCTGAGTCACCTTTGTAGAGATGGTCCAGTCCGTCTGTGACAATGGACCATGGGGAGGTGACAGTGGGCGGAGGGTCGGCTGGGAGATGGTGACAGATGGCAGGGCTGTTCTGGGAGGGCTGACACCCAGCACAGCTGAAAACTTTTCCTCTGAAAGTTTCTCCTACATTCGCTTTATGCTATCAACTCCAGGTAAAGGCAAAGTTAGAAATGAACGACATGGTTGGGCATAGGAATCAGTGGACAGAGGGACAAGGGATGTTCCTGGAGCAGGGAGGGGGTCTGGAGTTGCCTACTTCTGATGTGTGGAGCAAACTCTGGAGTCCTGAGAGTGAGCAGGCCGGCCTCCCTTGGCCCCTGCCCTCTCCCCACGCCTCCCACTGGGCCTGCTGGGTCACCCTGACCTCACAGTCTCTCAGCCACAGGCCCTGGGGGCTGGCCCCTCACCCTTGCTCCTGCCCCCAGGGTGGCTTCTCTGCAGGTCCCTCTGAGCAGGAGAGTTACAGCTCCTCCCCTACCTTCCTCCCACTTCCAGCTCCACGTCCTCCATGAAGGACACACTGCCTCTAGACTTCACCTTCTCTCCATCTGTGTCTCTTCCCACGAGAACCTGGGTTTCAAGATGACTCTCCCAGGGCCTGGCACATAGCAGTCGCTCAATAAATGAGAGGCAGCTCGGATGGCCACGTGCTGAAAACTGCTCTTTCAGTCCAGGGCTCAGACGTGCCAGCAGACTCAGAGGCATGGAGTCCTCAACAGCTTCACACTCAGCTCCTAACTGCTCTCACTTTGAGGCTTTGGAATAAATAAAAGCCACAGAGGAGAGCTCGGAGCCTCTCTGAGTCGGCACAGCCCAAATTAGCTGTGTTTTCTCTCTGCAGTAATTGACGGAATTGCAGCGGTTGCAGACAGTGGACTGAGCACACGCACGGGTCAGGTCACCAGGGACACACGGCCTCTCTTCCACATAGAAATACTGCCAAAGGGAGCAGGAGGAACATGATGACGGGAGGGGTTTCTCCAAGTGGCCCAGAGGGTTGATCTCAGAAGTAATTCCTGGTCAAGTCTTAGAATTAATGTGGAGGCAGCAGAAACTGCAGGGCCATCTCCCCACAAACGCTCTCAGCTCTGGAGGCAAGAAGCCCAGGGGCCCGCGACCCTTTCCAGCTGCACAGTCAGCCAAGCCGTTCCTTCTGCGCTGAACACAGCCTGAACCTCAGCCAAGCCCGGCTCTGTTGTCACCTTATAAACACCTAGAGTCAAATCTCTCCAGGCCAAGTCTGCTTTCACCCACACCAAGGAGGCTCACCCAAGGGGCAGGTGACCCCATATCCACAGCCAAGGTCCATCCTTGGGGCCACGTGGAATCTGCAAAAGAGCCTTTTCCCCAACTTATTTCTCAGATATGGGTCCACCCAGACCTACTGTCAGGCTTGGGGCTGAGCCTGGGGTTTCTGGGCGACTCTGATGCTCACTGAAGTTTCTGAGTCCCTGACTGGATGGGATGAGTCAGGGTGGGAGGAGGGAAGTTGAGCAAGGCACCTGTTGAAACCACGGCCGAGGGGATGGCAGGTGGGAGGGTGTCCAGGGCAGCCTGAGCCAGGGGGTTGCTGAGGAGCCTGTGTCCCTGAGCAGAATGCAGAAGAGTAGATAGCAGCTGAGGACACAGATTCTGAGCCAGGCATCCAGTCGGGGGAGCTCAGCTGGCTGAAAAATGGTCCCATGCTCACGTGCCTGGTTTGCAGGGTCACTGCTGCCCACGCAGGGGACACACGATGGGAAGGGAGGAAAACCACCGGCACCTGAGCAGAAACGGTCAATGCAGCACAGCCAGCGGCTGTCCCCACGGCCGTCCCCATACTGGGCGGGCTTAGGCCCCAGGAGAGACATGGGCCCCACCGGCAGCCAGGCCAGGCTTCTCCCTGCATTTCAGCCCCAGGTTGCCACACTGTCATCCCGCTGGTCTATGGAAGATGGACGTTCACTCAAGGTAGTGCCTCTGCTTTCTTCTGGGCCCTCCTGCAGCTGGATGGCTCCAGGGAGGCTGGCGGCTCAAGGCCCAGAGGGACTGGTCTCACAGGACTTACTAGGTCCCTGTGTGCTAATAATAAGCAGGCACGCTGAAAGGGTCCCAGCTAAGACCTTGGTGATGGCTGGTAGCTTAGTCCTTATATAATAGTTTGACTTCTATGAAACACTGCCCCACAACCCAACAACACTACACAAATGAACTAACTGCCTACTGTGTGCCGAGTACTACACGAGGATGAGAAGGGAAAGGAACTGTCATTGGTCTGGCCTCAAACTGCCTACCTATGCAGAGACAGGGTGACAGGGAACCCGAGTCATTACCTGTTTACATGTTATCTTGTGTGCATCATATTGTAAGATTTAACTTCACAAAGAGTTTAAAAAATGCTACAGGGGAGAGCGGTCAGGGAGAGCTGGTAGCTATGTACCTACCAGCCTCTGTGGAGGACCCAGGGCCATATCCCATTGCCCGGATTGTGCCTTGGGGTGCAGACCCAAGGGTCACTGAAGTCCTCCTCTCTCTGGTGGAGCTCCATCGGCTCCACCGCCCTCGCTCCCTCACCCAGCCTGCCCTGTGGTGACTGGGCGTCACCTGTAAGGGAAGCACATTAGGTCTTCATGAAGGCACAGTTTGAACCTGGACACAGAAATGCGGGCAGAACTCACGTCCAGGTCCAGAGGGGGAAATCCCTGCCCCCAGTTGCCCACTGATCATCATGATGCTCATGAGAAACGGGTCATGAAGAAGAAAACAGAAAAACAAAACAGAGCTTCAAGCACCATCACGTCTCCCCAGTGCTCTACGTCAGGGACACCTGAGCAGCTCCTCTCTGGTTTCTTCCTTGGGACTTTGTCTGGTCACCTCTGCTGTGGCAGAATCAGGGTGTCGTGAGAGTTAGGAGCAGGGTGAGGAAGCAGGGGTTAGGCTGGCTTGGGAGACACAGGGGAGCCACCAGCCCGCCCCACCCCCCAGCGCACCTAGAGCGCTGGTCACAGGACAGTGTTTGGACGTGGTTATAACCTGTCTCCATAGAGAACAATGACCCCAGAGACTTGCACCTGGTCCTCACTTCTCTGATGGAAGCTGTTTACTCTAGGACCTGAGCTGAGGGGCCTCAGCATGGGAGAGCCACAGCTGGCCCACAGACTTCCTGTTCTGTCGAAAATACCTCTCGGATCCTAATTTTATCATCCTTGTTTGTCCCCAGCCGCAATTATATCAATTATTGCAATATAATTGACATACGACATTGTTTTAAAGCGTACAACACAA